CGGCCCGGCCCGGCCTCACCCGCCGCCGCCGCCGCCGCCATCTTGGAGCAATGGCCGCCGGGACGGCCGGGGGGGCGGGAGGGGACCGCGACGGTCCTGGAGAGCGAGTGAGGGGCCGTCCGAGGGGGCTCCTGAGGGGACCCGGGGGCGGGAGGGGACCCGGACGGCTCGAGGTGGGAGTGCAGGGACCTGGGACTGAGGGATCGACCGGGACTGGCCGAGAGAAAGGTTCGGAGGAATCAGAACCGGCTGGGAGTGGGAGTGGGACTGAGCGCGCCGGCAGAGAGGCGACTCGGGACCCAGAGGGGAGCCTAGGAGAACTCGGGAAAGGGTGTGGAGAGGAGCTGGCGGGGTCTGGGAAGGGCTGAGTGGCCTCGCATGGAAGCTCGCAGAAGCTCGCAGGGGGCAGAGGGTCTCCCACCCCCGTCCCTGCGGCCGGGTGCGTGTTGGAGGTGGGATGGGGAGCGGCGCGGGGGCACGTGCGACCCGGGCGAGAGCGGGTCCTGGCGGGGAGCCGGGAGGAGTAGGGAGAGGAAGTCGGGAGCCTGGAATGGGGTGCGCTTCGGGGCGTTTGAATGGGGAGCACTGAAAGATGGCTGTGTAAGGAGTCTGGGGGTCGGAGGAGGGTTTCGAAGGGTCCCAGGATGAAAGTGTGTGCCCTCCCCTCTGAGGAAGAAACTTTGGGGAGCTCGGACATGTGTGGCTGGCTACAGAGTGCAGAGAGGGGGTCCTTGGGGTGGAAGCGTGGGCCGGGCAGAGGACATACCCTCGGTATGTCTGGCTGGGAGAGCTTGAGAGTGGAAGCGCCAATTTGGGAGTGCGGAGGAGTGGCTGCGGCGACTCTGAGATGGAGAGGTGGAGGGGTGTGTAGGATGTCGGGTATAGAGCCCTGAATCGGGGGGGTCCAGCATGTCTAATGTGGAGATGAAGCCACATGCTAGGATGGGGCCAATGAGGAGGGATGGGGTACCCCGGGGCGATGCATTAGGGGGAGCATTTTGTAGAGCAGGAAGGCAGCGCGAGGAGGCATCTCAGAAGGACCCTGGGAGGAGATGTTCTTGGAAGTTTCTGGGAGAGGACCCCATGGTTACAAAGTAGCTTGGGAGCAGGATGTGCCCTGGGATGATGTATGAAGAGGAGTGGGCTGGGCTTTGTGACTTCTAGGAGTGTGGGGTCCATTTGCATGAGTCTCTGGAAGAGCCTGGGAACCAGAGATGTGAGCATTTGAAAGGATCAAGGATGGGCCACTAGGAGTCTGAGGGTTCCTGGGCTGGGGTGTCATTAGCAGGATTTATCAGTACTTGTTCTAGCAGCCCACCTTTCCCCTTCTGATTTGCTGTTTCCTGTCTAGTTGAAGCAGATACCCAAATACATCACTGATTAGAATTTTGTCGGTGAGACGAATAAAGAAAGCCTCCAGCGTTCTCCCGCCCCCACGGGGATCTTAGCTTGCGGTAGCTCAGGCTGGGTCTGAGGTGGGAGAGGGGTCTTTATGTACGTGCTTCTCACTTTGATGTCCTGCTCTTGGAGCTCTTCCCCAGCATACATCTCATTGGATCTTCTCAACGCCCCATTGCATAGGCAGAGCCAGTGTCTCAGCTCACTCAGCAATAACGATAGCAGCTATTTATTGAGCACATACTGTGTCTGGGGCACTGTATTAAGCACTTTAGATATATACACGCTGTCATTTAATTCTTGCAACATTGTGGGAGACGGAATGATACTTTCTCCCCCTCCTCCCTTTTTCAAAAAATATTCAGAAGAGGAAATGGAGGCTTTGACAGGGTGAACGATTTAGCTAGGATCCCAGCAGATGAGTGGCAGGGCTGGTGTGTGGTCTTTAAAGCCCATGCTCTATACCTGTCCGCCACCCAGTACAAATGAAAACACTGGTTCGGGGAAGCCAAGTGGCCTCCCCAGGGTCACCCAAGCAATCATAGCAGAGCCGCGGGCGTGTGGGATTTCACACCACGCACCCTACAGCACCCACCGTGCCACCTTTCATCTTTGAGACACGAGAGGAAAGATGTGTTCATCCCCTCACTTAATGACCCTTCTTGGAGTCTGAGACGAACTTGTGGGGAACTCCCAGTTAATCTCTCTCTCATCTGGGCTTTAGCATCGTCACTTACATCTTTTGTTCTTCTATGTTAGTAAAAATTCAGACATCTCAGAGGGGTGTATGTGTGTGTGCACATATATGTGAGTGAATAAGGAAAGTCCCCTCCATCTCTCCTCCCCAACTGTTATTGTTATAAAAGTAATCTGGTTGTGTGTGTATAATATACGAGATCATCCTATATGTATCATTTTGTGACTTCTTTTCTTTCTTTTCACATAATGTGTTTTAGTGTTCCTTTCACTCAGCACAGAGAGCTCTCTCCCTCTCTTTCTCTCTCTCTCTCCCTCTCTCTCTCTCTCTCTCTCTCTCTTTTTTTTTTTTTTTTTTTTTTGAGAATGGGGTCCCGCTCTTCCTCAGTCTGGTCTCGAACTCCTGGCCTCAAGCGATCATCCTGCCTCAGCCTCCCAAAGTGCTGGGATTACAGGTGTGAGCCACCGCGCCTGGCGGCGTCTTTCTCATTATTTTTGATAACTGCATAGCGTTCCATTGGATGTTGGTTCCATGGCTTATTTAGTCTGGCCCCTCTTGATGGACTTTTAGACTCTTTTTAGTTTCTCCGCATCAGGCACGGCTGCGGTGAATGTCCTTTATGCCCAGGTGAGGATAAGGCAGAACAGATGGTGGGATGGCAGAGTAGGTGCGTTTATCAAATGGTGATTGGCTCTGCCACGTTGCCCCACCAGTTTACACCCCATCAGCGACACTTCTTTTTACACACCTTTTCTTGAGCACTTATTGCTTCTGGAAAGTGTGACTTCCCCTGCGAGCTCCTTTAAGATCCAGACCGGGTCAGATTGTTTTGATGAACTCTGAATCACTTTTCTCCGAAGAGCTGACTACAGCTGCTCCTAGCGGAAGACCTGCTGGAGGTATTAGTAAGTCCTCGGTACCTGTGTGTCCGTGGCAGAGAAGGCAGTCCCTTATGAGGTCCTGCCAAGAGGCACCCAAAGTGTGGAGCAGGAGGGTGGCGTAGCTGCAGTCTGGTAATGAGCAGGAATTTGCTAGGTGGGGGCTTCCCAGAAGTAGGCGTTGTGGTTTCTGCCCTTCTGAAACTTCCAGGCTAGCAGAGGAAGCCGCAGAGAGATGTGCACGTTCGTGCACAGGCTCTGCCCGTGTTCTGTGGCACCTCTGAGAAGGGAAGCTCTTTGAGGACAGGAGGAACCTTTTGGGAAGGGATCTGAACTTAACGTTCGTGTAGGAGCAGCAACAGGGAGCCACGGTAAGTGTGGTGCCAGCGGAGAAGGTACGGAGCTGTCCCCTGCCCGCTTCTAGCATCCTAGGGGGTTCTGAGTGATCCACTGGGGACTCATCTCTGCAGGAGCCGCTGAGGCTTGGGAAGGAGGCATTTAGGAGATGCAGGGCTAGGTGGCTAGGTGGCACTGAATGAGAAAGCCCTCTCGGGGGCCTAGGACTTAAAGCTGCCAATTCAGAGAGGCCTCAGCTCCTGGGAAGACTGAGATTCAAGGACTCCTTGGGAAGCCTTTAAATGTTACCTTGGTGGGGAGAGGGAACAGCCAGAGAGGAGGAGAGGCAGCGCGAGAGCCAGGTGTCAGAACGGTTTGGGGGCGTCTGCTCTGCTAGTCTGGCCAGAGGGAGTGGCAGTGGGTGGACGTGGAGAGCGGAGGACTTCCGGATCCCAGACCTGCCTGCCTGCCCACCGCGGCCCTCGCAGAACAGGCGGGGTGTGTGTGGGGGTGTCCTGGCGTTCGCAGCGGTGGAGAGACTGACTGGCCACTGACACTTCCCTTTTCTGGTGGGATTCCGCCAACCTGAGACACTTCAACCACGTCTTTGTGGTTTTCTTTCCTCCCTCCTCTGCCAGAGGCACTGGGAAGAGGACAGCAAAGTCTGAGGTCCTGGCGTGGTAACCGGGAGAAGGGAGGTCGGAGCTGGAGGCGGTGGTGGGGGGTGTGAAGGAGGCTGAGCCAGTGGGAGGCAGGTGGGGCACTGGACTCCACCTTCTTCCCCCACAGCGCAGTCACCGTGTCCATCGCTGCGTCCTAGTCCAGGCCACTGTCGTTTCTCCCTGGATTTCTGCGACCGCCCCCTTCTTTGATACCCGCCTTCAGCTTTGCTGCCTTTCCCTCCCCCTCCCCCTTCCCATCGTTCTCCATGGTCTAGCTGGGATTACTTTGTAACACGCAAGCTTCCCTGTGCTCTTGGGATGAATTTCACACTTGTTAGTGTGGTCCTCCGTCTGTCCTGTGTGGGGCCTCCGTGCTTCTCGAACTTTGCTCGCTAAGCCTTTGCACATTCTCGAGCAGCCACACCAGCCTCTTTGGAGCCCCTTAAGCTCACCGTGCAACTCTCATCTCGGCCCTCTGCCAGCAGCCCCCTTCTCTCCCCTCGCCAACTTCTAATCAGCCTCAGGTCTTAGCTGAACTGTCACTTCCTCGTCCCTCGGCCCATAGCATGCTTTGCCCTCATCGTGGGCTGAGTCATGTGCTATATGTGAGTTGTCGCTGCTCGTGCCTGTCGCTCACGCCTGGCAGGACCCACATGGCTTCTCTGATACTCCCAGTGCCTTGCATAGCGCCCAATGTGTGATGGGCAGTCGCCGTATAGGGGTGGGTTTGGACAAGTGTAGGCTCTAAACAGGCTGTCCTGGTGCTGGGAAGAAGGACCCATAGTGGAAGCCCAGAAGGGCAGGTAGGACCATGATGAAGAAACTCAGGGCTTATGTTTGATAATCAACTTTTTCTTCTCCATGTCTGTTACCACCTTCTAAAATGATTTATAGAGTAGATTTGGGGGACAGAGAAGATACACAAAGGAGGCCAGGTGCAGTGGCTCACGCTTGTAATCCTAGCACTTTGGGAGGCCGAGGCGGGAGGATCATTTGAGCTCAGGAGTTCAAGACCAGCCTGAGCAAGAGCGAGACCCTGTCTCTACTAAAAATAGAAAAATTAGCCAGCGTGGTGGCACCTGCCTGTAGTCCCAGCTACGGACTGGGACTACAGGCAGGTGAGGCAGGAGGCTGAGGCAGGAGGATCCCTTGAGCCCAAAGTTTGAGGTTGCAGTGAGCTATGATGATGCCAGTGTACTTTAGCCTGGTGACAGAATGAGACCTTATTTCAGAAAAAGAAAAAAAAAAGATACGCACAGGACAGAAACTCACACTTGAGCAATGTTGATCACTTGTGGGTAGTCTCCCCCCCTGGCCTCAGATATTTGTATGCATATGTGTTGATAAAAGTGTTAAGGGGAAGAAAGATCTTGTTCTCTTAATGGACAGATGAGGTTTGTTTTCCTTACATACTTGATAATGTGTATTTATGTGTTGATTGTCCTACACCACCCCCCCGTTAGAATGTAAACCCCATCCTGTTCAATGATGTATCTTCAGTATTTACAACAGTACCTGATATACATAGTTAGGACTAAATAAATATTTCTGGAGTAAATGAATGAATGAATGCTCTTTTGTCATACATTAATGCATGTATATCCTTTTTTATTTATTCAAAATGAAGCCTACCATTGCAAATGTGCCTGCAGGATAAAGTCCTAGAAGTGGAACCAAAAGGAATGTACATTTAACATTTTTGTAGATACCGCTAGATTGCCCTTCGGGAAGGGTACGTCAGTTCATGGCGCACCAGTGGTCTATGAGCATGCGTGTGAGTGTGCTCGTTGCCCCGGGCCCTGGCCAGCGCAGGGTATTACTTAGCATATCCTCAGTTCTCTGCTAACCTGAGGGTGGCACCTGGTCTCTGGGGCAGGACGGAGGTGCTAGCAGGCCTGAGGGTACTGTGCATGGGGCAGCAGGTCAGGGCCCAGTGAGCCCCAAGGGGAGGGAGAACCGCCTGGAGGAGGCGTCTGGGGTCAGGCTGGAGCCTTCTGGTGGAGTCTCTGAAGCTCTTCAGCAGGCTCAGAACGTGCAGGGAGCTGGGCACCGAGAAGGTGCGGCTGGCAGCGAGGGCAGGAGGCCCGTAAGCCACAGACGTTCCTATCTGGTCGGTCTCCAGTCCCGGAGGGATCGGAGCTCCCCTGAAGAACTGGGTCCATTTGGGAGTGGTGGAAGAATGGCCAGGGAGAATAAAAATGCCGAGAGAGGTAGAAGCCGACATTTATTGGTCCGTCTTCTGTGCTAGGGTTTGGACTGAGAAGCACGTGACACGTGAGGGGAGGGCACTCTCAGGAGCCCCATTTTCTAGAGGGGCAAATGGAGGCCTAGAGAAGGTTGGTGACCTGGCTCGGACTGTGCAGCGAGTACACGTCCGAGCTGGGCTGGCGCTCAGGCTGTCTGGGGCTGGAACAGCGGAGCACTTGGGGAGGAGCCAGGGAAGAGCCCTGGTCTCCGGGCTTTGGCAGAAGGGCGTCTGGAACATGGTCAGAGGCCAGGATCCTGCCTCGAAGGCCTTTGGCCCAGTGTCTCCAAACGACCTGTTGACACACCGGAGCAGACTGGGCAGCCCAGCCCAGCAGACGGTGTGAAGAGCTTGGCAGGAGCCGTGGGTCATGTCTGCGGCGCATCTCTCACAGCCGGGGCAGCATTCAGTGGGACGGCGGGGGTCGGGTTGTAAAGCTTCTGTATTGGAGCGGGAGCTGAGCCAAGCCACCCACTCTTGTCCCTAAGCTCCAGAAGTAGCTTCCTACGCCTCCCAGAGACAGATGCCCTGGTGAGAATAGTGGGACGCCACCTCCACCAGCATCCTCAGGGACGGCACCTGCCAGGGAGTGCGGGGGAGTCCAGGCCGTTGATGCCTACCCCCCGCTCTACTTTCATCCCTGACCTCACTTCTCCCCAAAAGGCAGCCACCAAGTTTGGCCCAGGCTGGCTCCGTTTTAATTTCAGGGGTTAAGGACTCGGGCTCTTTCACTGCGGGTGACGTGGCAGCATTCGTCCTCTCTGTGTTCCATCCATCGAACCCTGGCTCAGAGACTTCCGCGTATCACTGCGGGGGCAGGGGCTGGGGCTGTACCTGAGTGAGTGAGGGACACACCGCCAGTGGGCCTGAGCCCTGCCGTCTTCCTTTGCTTTCCGTCTCCCCCTCACCCCAGGCTCAGGTGGCCTTTCTCCAGGGCGAGAGGAAAGGGCAAGAGAACCTAAAGACAGACCTGGTGCGGCGGATCAAGATGTTAGAGTATGCGCTGAAGCAGGAAAGGTGAGCCCTCCCGCCCTTCCCTGGCCCTGCCTCTGAGAGTCGGTCTCGGGCACACGGTCCTGAGGCCACTGGCTGTGCTCACACCCAGCTAAGGGAGATTTGGGGTCAGACGCTCTCTTCCAGCCATCCTAGTACCATAGGGTTCTGGGGGGAGGGGGGCGGGTGAAATAAGACACAGTAGGTGAGATTTCAGATAGAGCCAGTGACAATACTCATGACGGTGGTGGCCCACTGTGTGCCAGCTACTGTGTATTCCTCATCCTGTTTATCCTTTCCAGTAGCCTAAAGGGTATCATTAGCCCTGTTTCTGGTAAGGGACTGAGGTTTCAAGAGGGTAAGTGACTAATTGGAGAGCTCCCAGGGCTGGGATAGCAAGCTAGTCTGCCTGGCTCCAAGGAAGGGCTGCTTTGCACCATGCGACCTATCGTGCCGCCTCTGCTAGGCCATGGGGGGGCTGGGGGACAGTTCAGCTTCAGAGGTAGGAGAGTGGATTAGGGGGAGGCCCTGGGATTTGAGGTTCCCGAGATGACCGCTGACCCTGTCTACTCTCCTGCATCTCTTACTCGTTAATCATTTGCTCTTTTAGGGCCAAATATCATAAACTGAAGTTTGGGACAGACCTGAACCAGGGGGAGAAGAAACCAGATGTGTCAGAACAAGGTACCCGCCCTCTGACCCTCCCTGTTGTCGGCCCTCCCCTGCAGCTGAGTGAGACGGACAAGTGTGAAGACCGTTGCTTTCTTGCCTTGCTCCGTAGAAAGCAGAGTTGGCCCCGGGGCCTGGGGAATGGTGGGGTCTCACTCCCAGGGCCCCTCCCCTGTAGGCTGCTCTGTGCCAGGTACTGTGCTGGGCCCTGGGGACCAGCCCTACCTGCGTCCCTCTGTGAAACAGACAGACTCACAACCGATGGCGGGGTCCCTCTGAGGGGTTCCGCGCTGGGAAAATTGTAGGAAAGCTGGTGAAGCCCTCGCCGAGGAGGTGGCGTTTGAACTGGGTTCTCACTCAATCATTCAGCCAAAAAAGAAAAAGAAAATTTGTTTATTTATGGGGTGCTGGCTTTGTGTCACAAATCAGGGACACAGCAGAGAGCAAGATAGACATGGTCCCTGCCCTCTGGTCCCTTAAAGTCTAAGCTCCTCGAAAGAGGACTCAGTTTCCCGGGAGGGGAGCGAGGGAAGAGTGCACAGACGCACAGAGATGCACGCTGGATGGCGCGGTGCGTTCGGGGACCGGGAGTTAGTCAGTGTGACTGGGCGCACAGTGTGGGAGGGAGGACGTGGCAGGGTGGGCCGGGTGACAGCAGGAGCTTGGCCAGGGGGCACTGCAAAGACCTTACCTGCGAGGCTGACGGTGATCATCGTTATCTGATGCCAGCCTCCTCCAAATAGAACGTCAGTCCCACAAGGGCACAGGTCTTTGTTTCCTGACGTAGCCCGGGCCCCCTAGGTGGGCACAGTGTGGATGCCCAGTGAATATTTGACGAATAAAATACTAAACGAATTATCTAACTTAATCCTCACAACAGTCTCAAGAGGGAGATGCTGCTATTATCAGCCTTGTTTCCCAGTGGGGAAAACTGAGACCCGGGTGACACTGACCTGCTCAAGGTCACAGCTGGGGAGCGGCAGAGCGGACTTGCACCCAGTCTACCCGCTCTCTTAGAGCCGGGCCAGCTTTCTGTGTAGGAAAATAGCAACGTGCCCTGAGTTTTAAGAGAAAACCCTTGTGTGGGGACTAGTCTGGGGGACAGGCAGCCAAGGGCGAGAGCTGAGGAGTGCTGCAAGGAGGAGTCTCTGGGTTTCAGACACTCAGGAAGTGACGCCACAGGCCCCGTGACAGTGACCGCTTTGGGTTTGAGGAGTGAGGAAGATGGAGGAGGTGACGGGTAGGAGGCAGTGGCCCCACTAAGACAGCCTCCTCCTTTCTCCCCAGTCTCCAATGGCCCCGCGGAGTCGGTCACGCTGGAGAGCAGCCCGCTGGTGTGGAAGGAGGGGCGGCAGCTTCTCCGACAGTGAGTGTGCAGGGGCGGAGGGCCGGGGCCGGAAGGCACGTTTGGCTTGAGAGATAAGTCCAGGGACTCCGCAGTCCTTCCGGTCCCCACTGGGGACACTTGAAATAATCAGGATCCCAGCCAGCCACCGTTGGAATGGCCTGGCACCCTGTGGGGGGGCCTCGCCTGGGGAGAGGGAGGGGACACTTGCTACAGGAGGTCTATGTGGGGCCCCACCCTTGGAACGTGACCCCGAATGCCCCTGTGGCATTTCTTAAAAGGGTAATGTTAAATTATTATTTTTTTATTACCGTGCATTTTGGAAAACTTAGAAAATAGAGGGGAGCACAAAGAAACACGTCACTCATAATTCTACCACCCAGGGAGTTGCGTATCCTGTGAACATTTTAGCATTTATACTGTCAGTCTCTTCCGTGGCTGTGTGTTTGTGTGTATTTTGTAAAAGCTGGGGTTTCTCATTTCCTATTTGATTGTTTTCTTATGCATTATTTTTGCTAAGAGCTGTGAACATCTTTCCATATAAATTAGTTATGTTGCTTTTTTTTTTTTCCTTTTGAGATAGTGTCTTGCTCTGTCACCTAGCATGGAGTACAGTGGCGTGATCATAGCTCACCGTAACCTCTAACTCCTGGGCTCGAGCAATCTCCTGCCTCAGCCTCCTGAGTTGCAGGGACTATAGGTGCGAACCACCAGGCCCAGCTAATTTTTTATTTTTCATAGAGACAGGGCTTCACGATGTTGCCCAATCTGGTCTTGAACTCTTGGCCTCAAGCAGTCCTCCCACCTCAGCCTCCTAAAGTGCTGGCATTACAGAACTGTATAATCGTCTGTCATATGGATAAGTATCGATGGCCAGTTCCTTCTTGTGTATTTTGTTGAGATTGTTTTTAAATTTTTAGTATTATAGACAGTATAACAACCATCAGGAAGACATTTGTGTATCCTGATTTCGTCAAGCTAACTATCTGGAAGTGCAATTGCTGGCTTAACGTGTGCACAAACAACAACCCCAAAACGATAATAGTAATACTAACAGGCCACACTTACCAAGTACCTATTAAGTGCCTGGCACTTGCTAAACATTTTGCTCACGTAAGTCCCTGTGTGGTGGAGCTGCTAGTGTTCCCCTCATTTTCACAGATGGCAGAACTGAGGTGCAGAGAGGTGACCTGTTTGCATAAGGTTGTGTGGTTGCCGGGATGGGGTCTCAGGCAGTCTGCGCCCAGAGCCCAATTGCTAAACCGCCCCGCCTCCCTGCCTCCGCTAGTGGGGAGACGGGAGCCTGGGAGACAGTGGGCACTTAGGAGACGACATGTGTGAGGGGCAGGGTCAAGGCTCCAAAGGGACAGGGGAGCAGAAAAGTCTTCCTGGCCAAGCAGCCTCTTGAGGACTAGCAAGGGACTTTGTCTCCTATCTTTTGAAGCCGCAGATACCCGTAATTGATTTTTGTTCTTTTTCTTCTTCCTTTTTAAATTGTAGAAGTAATAAATGCTCATTTGTAGAAGTAAGTTGCAAATGTTCCTCTTGCGTCCCTGATCCCATTCTCCAGAGGTCACTGCTATTAAGTTTCAGGGGTATCTTTCTAGGCTTCCTTGGGGGGCGTAATACAAAGGTGTGTTTCTGTGTGATGTAAACTCATACACACGTTAATGCTGTTTTTTCTCTTTACTCAAACACCAGCTTTCCTTGACACTCTGCCGTGTTTATTTTCTGCCTAGCATTGCTATCGGTAATCTGCTGACACAGTCCCGTCAGTGGAGGTTGAGGTCGGTCCCTGCACTTTGGACTTCCCCATACGACACCGCAGGGACCATCCTTGTGTGATAACATTGTACGTGGGTGTAAGGGCTTCCCTTGGAAGGAGTCTCGAAAGCGAAATTGCTGCATCAGGGGTGTGCTTATGTCAAATTTTGGTGTGTACTCTTAAGTATACCCTTCAGTTGCCCTGCGCCAGGGTGTCCCAGTTTGTGTTGGTCCCTGAAGTATATGAAGAAGCCCAGGGGACGTCTGACCCGCATCGGCTCTGTACCCCTGCAGGTACCTGGAGGAGGTAGGCTACACAGACACCATCCTCGACATGCGGTCCAAGCGCGTCCGTTCCCTGTTGGGCCGCTCGCTGGAGCTCAATGGGGCTGCAGAGCCTAGCGAAGGGGTCCCCAGGGCCACGCCGGGCCCTGGGGGGCTCAGTGGCGGTGAGTCACTGCTGGTGAAGCAGATCGAGGAGCAGATAAAGAGGTGAGCCCTTGGGCCTGGCAGGTGTATCCCTCCGTTCCTCCCCGCTGATGCGGGCCAGTGTCAGAAAGACAGCTGGCGCGCCTGCGTGCCCTGGCGGCCCCTTCTCCTTCTGGAATATATCGTGGGCTCGTTTGTTCCAGAACCCTCTGCCCCTTCATCGCTGGGATCCACTGGATTCTCTGCCCCTCTCCATACCCTCCACGGCCTCGTCTCTAGGCTGTCCCCTCTCCTGAGTCTCATGCCTGCGCCCTCCTTAGCAACATCCGGCACCTACTGAAGGCGCGTCCTGGGTGGCTTGCCAGCGGGGAGCAAAACACGCGGTTGCTGCCCTTGGGGGCTCTTATTTGTTCATTCTCTAATCTCATTAATTATTAATTCATCAGAATAAATCAGGTCATGTAGGTGTTGCTAAGTGCTATGGAGAATATGACAGGTAATAAGATCGATGGGAGAAATCACGCTACTTCGGATGGGGAGGAGCAGGGAGGACCTCTGGACATTTGGGCAGAAAATTGCATGAAACGGAGGGTAAGGCACACGAGTGGCTGGGAGGAGAATGTTCTAGGCAGAGGGAAGGGCAAATGCAAAGGGCCTGAGGTGGGAAGGTTCTGGCCCTCGAGGCTGCAGGCGTGAGCTCAGGGCTGTGTCTGGGGGAGGCTGCAGTCCCAGGAGGCACAGCACACTCCGCTCGGGGACTGAGGGAGTGAGAGTACACGCTGCAGGGAAGGGATCCAAGGCCCGAGCCCTGGGGGCTCGCCTATCCCGGAGGCTGGAGCAGGGGAGGAAGCCAGGAGGAGGCTGCGCTGGCAGCCAGCGCTGTGGAGGAAAGCCATGGGGATGGGAGTGGGGTTCTGGCTGAAGTGAGTTCGGGCATGGCAGCCTAGAGGCGAGTGAGGGGATATCTGTGGTAATCTCTCTACCAAGTGGTAACTGTATACCTGGGCAGTTGACAAGAACTCTCTAGAGCGTCAACCTGATGTCAGAAAGGAAGGTGTTTGCATTTATCTGAACTTTGAATTCCACCTGCCTTTATGGTGGAGTCAGGTTTGGTAAGCACGTCCTCCCCTGCTAAAACTTGTCATCGTGCTGGCGGCCGGGAGGTAGAAGTAGGAGTGCCGTCTGTCGCTGGGGATGGTTCAGGCTCCTCGGGAGCAGGGAGCGCCGGGGCTCCTGCTGTCCACGGCCGCAGCAGCCGAGCTGGGTGTAGCCGTCAGAGCATTTGCAGAGTGGCTGGTTCCTCTTTCCTGCTGGGCGTGTCTGCCCCTTGCCTGACCTGCCCTTGTGGTCTGCCCGGGCATGGGAACGGGGGCTGCCGAGTGAGGGCCACTCTCCCCAGCGTCCCTCTGACTCAGCACATGCGGGAGCTGTTTGGTCAGGGTTGGGGGGTCGGGGCTGGGTCTGGGTGGAATGAGGTTCCGGTTGGCATGCGCACGCGTGGGGCAGGGTCTGGAGTCAGGCCCTGTGTGTGATTAGAGTCAAGGCTACTCGGGGCTTAGCGGCTTAGCTGGGTCCAGGCTGTGGCCACCACGCCTGGGCAGGCGCCTTCCCTTCTGAGCTTTGACACCCGGCAGGACTGACACCCCCTCTGCCCCCTTGTCGTGGGCAGGAACGCGGCGGGCAAAGATGGCAAAGAGCGCCTGGGCGGCTCAGTGCTGGAGCAGATCCCCTTCCTGCAGAACTGCGAGGACGAAGACAGTGACGAGGACGATGAGCTGGACAGCGTGCAGCACAAGAAGCAGCGCGTGAAGGTGCGTGCCTCCCCGCCACGCGCCCCGCGTCCTGGTCTGGGTGCGGCCCGATCGCAGCCCTTCCCCGAGTCCCAGCTCCTTGGCGGCAGGGCTGTGCCTCAGTACCTGCAGACGTGCCTTGGTGTTTGCCGTGAGGGCCTTTGCCTGCGCGCCCCCATTTTCCGCTGGCACCGCCGTGACTCTCCGTCCTCTGCCGCCTCATCCCAGACGTCCCTCAGAGGCCTGCCTGAGCCCCGCAGACCAGGCCGCGCTCCTGGCGCTCCTTTCCGGGCGGTCCCTCCAGTTGCAGTGCCATGCGTTTGCTGTGACCATCGCGCTCTGTCTCCTGCAGTAGATCGTGAGCTCCACCAGGCCGGGATTTTGTGGGTCTTTTTGCTGCTCCGTCCCTGGGCCCCAAAAAGGGTCTAGAACACAGGCTCTCAGTAAATACTTGTGAATCAGACAAGTGTGGCTGGGCCCGGGGTTCGCCTGGGTGGAGGCCCCTCTCTGCTTCTGCCATCAGAAATTATCCCTGAGTTTTTATACTCCTGTGGCCTTCACATCTGTCACCACGCTTGTTCCGCCTCTGAGCTGGCGTGTCGTGCGGGGCTCTCTGTGTCCACACAGCAGACCTTCAGAGAGGCTTAGCTGGGAGCCTCGTGAGACTCCCAGACTGGCCACGGGCCTGGCTGTGCGACCTCAGGCACGTGCTCCTCTTTGTCTTAGCTTCAGTTTCCGAGCCCATAAAATAGGGCTAAGAGTCCCAGTCCCTGGCTGTTGAGGATTTAATTCAAATGTGCTGATGCACAGAAAGCCCTCAGCTCCACGGCGGCCGGCCCCCTACGTGCTCAGTGGCTGTCGTTAATGGCTGGTAGTGTCGGTGGGACTGAGCAGCGGTGTCGCTCTCATGGTCCTGGGCACCGCTGGAAGAGTGCGGTTGACAGGGCCCCTTTCTCGTGCACCCTTCAGAGCGCTTGCGAGGGTTCCAGGCTTCTGTAGAGTCCAGACCCCGGCCGCTGCCTCTCTGGGCCTGCTGTCCACACCTCGGCCCTAGGTCTCCGCATCCCATCCCTCTGCTTCCCCCACGCAGGCCAGAGACTGGCTCCTCGCAGGTGCCCGACCCGGCGCGGTAGAGGGTCAGCCGCACCCTGGCGGGGTTCACAGTTGGCTGAGGCTGCCCAGGGCACGGGCAGAGGTCGCACTTAGTGATCTGGGGCAAGGAGCTTCGCTCTGCTCGGCCTCAGTTTCCTGGCCTGTGATATGGGAATACCAATTACAACAATCACGGTTCACAAGGTTGGGGGTTAGTTGAAGCCACGTATTATGCGAAGCTTATTCAGTGCCCGTTCAGGGCCTGTGACTCGTTCTCGTTTGCGCACAGCAGCTGGGGCGGTGTTTGGTGATGTTTGCTTATCATTCCTGCTGGACTCGCGGTTAAAGCGCTGGGGCCGTTCGTCCTCACTGTATGCACCTCGTTCACTCGCACGCAGACACGGGTACCTGCCGCTCTCCCGGCAAGCCCATTGTCACGTTCCTGACTTCTCTTCCCAGAGGCACTGCGCTGTGGGACAGGGGCCTCCCCAGCACAGGCCGGGAGGAGGGGCTGCGTGAGTGTGAGGGGCCGGGAAGGGGCCTCCAAAGCCAGGCTGCGGGGCGGGACAGGCAGTGGCTGAAGGCCTCGGCAGGGGGAGCACGCAGTCGGCAGGGGGAGCACTCAGTCGGCAGGGGGAGCACGCAGTCGGCAGGGGGAGCACGCAGTCGGCGGGCAGCACAGGCAGCAGCTGGCGGCTGAGGCGGTCCCCTCTGAAGGGACAGGCAGAAGGCTGGGAACTCCGGCTCATCTGTTCCTGCTCACTGGGGGAGGTTAGTCTCTGGACAAGAGCGCCCTGACCTGTCTGCTTCTCCATGCCCCAGCTCCCCTCCAAGGCCCTGGTGCCTGAAATGGAAGATGAGGATGAGGAAGATGACTCCGAGGACGCCATCAATGAGTTTGATTTCCTGGGCTCAGGAGAGGATGGGGAGGGGTCTCCAGATCCTCGGCGTTGTACCGCAGATGGGGGCCCCCACGAGCTGGGTGAGTCGGGGATTCTCTGGCCATGACGGTGGTGGGGCCAGACCCTGGGTCCTGCCCCTTCCACACGCAGCCGCCTGCAGCTGCTTCCTGCCCCAGGGTCTCCACCGGACAGACACGCTTCCTGAGAGGAGGGTGGCCAAGGAGAGCAGGAGGCTGAGCCGTGGCAGCCAGGCCCCTCACCCCTTCCCTGGAAAATCCCCCTGTGGACACAGGCAGGGCCGCATCCAATTCTGGCTGACCTCAAGGAGGGAACAGGATGAGGACCCGGTGGGGGAGAGGCGGGGGGGCAGGGCTGCGTCTTCCTCCCTGTCCTGTGACTCCTGGCTAGGAGGGCCTGTGGGGGTCACTCGGGATGCATGGCTGGGGACTGAGGCCCAGGCAAAGGCAGTGACCTGCCCACCACCCCACAGAGGGTCCTGGTCAGCCTCTGTCTCCTCTGCCAGTCTGCCACCTGGGCCCGGAGTGTCATAGCTGCCCACAGTCATAGGAAGGTCCCCGGTGGTGGGGAAGGCATCTCCTGCGCGCGGCTGGGTTGGAGCTGGTGGGCGACTCCTGCCCGTGCCTCGTCCCTGCAGAAAGCCGGCGGGTCAAGCTCCAGGGCATCCTGGCTGACCTTCGGGATGTGGACGGGCTGCCCCCCAAAGTGACCGGCCCGCCTCCTGGCACCCCCCAGCCCCGGCCACACGAAGGTAAGAGACCACTGCGCCCCCAGCCCAGTCCTGTGGGCCCACAGCAGAGGGAGGCTGCAGAGCTGAGCCAAGGGCTTCTGTGTCCTCACGGTCGAGGCCCAGCCTCCAGCCTGCAGCCTCCCTGTCCCAAAAGTTTGTCTGTCTGTCTCTGTCTCCCTCTCTTTTTGTCTGTCCTGCCCTGTCTGTCTCTCTCTGTCCCCTCCTTTTCAGCTGTGATCCTTGGTCTCGTCCTCTCCCTGTCTCTCCTGTTCCTTATCTCTCTCCGCCTCTCTCTCTCTTCCTCTCTCTCCCTGGCCCTCTCTGCCCCTCCCTCCCCTCCCCCTACCAGGTTCCTTTGGCTTCTCCTCAGACGTTTTCATCATGGACACTATCGGGGGCGGGGAGGTGAGCCTGGGGGACTTGGCAGATCTCACCGTCACCAACGACAACGACCTCAGCTGTGACGTAAGTTCTCCAGGTGGCTTCTCCTGCTCACCCTGTTTCACACACGGGTGCGGGTGCAGGCAGGTGGGGGGGTCTTGCCTGTGGTCGCCGAGGAGCAGGGCCCGGAACACTCTGGAGCCGGGTCCTGAGCACCGTGCCAGCCTCCTTCACTCAGTGCTCCCTCCCGCCCCTGGCGTTTTGGGATGCGGGAAGATGGCCTCCAGCCAAAGCCCCCCCAAAACAAGGCCAGTCTGGTGTGCGTGGGGCCAGTGGGCTGGAATGAAATGTTCTGAGCCTGAGACCCAGACAGGCCCCTGGCCGTCTGGGAACCTCTGGCCTGGACGTGTGCGCATTTCCTGTGGCAGGGCAGGACCTCAGGTGTTGGTGATCCCAGTGAGGTCGGGGCACTGCTGTGGGACGCGGGGAGGGAGCCTTGGAGTGCGCCTCTGGGCTCGTCAGCTGGCCTCAGGATGTCGCCCATGCTGGGGGAGGGGGCAGAGGAACTACGCGACAGCAGATGCTGTGGCTCTAAAGAACGGTGGCGGAAGTGACGGCTAGGGTGGGGACCTCGGGGGTGGACTGAGCCCAGGCAGAGGGGTCTTCAGATGTGGAGCCCGTCTTGGGGCCGAGGCTCGCCTGGCAGTCTCCTTGTCGGCCTTCCCAAGCCCAGCCTTCCCGGGTTCCCTGCTTGGTCGGCGGCTCTGCTTCCCATCACGGCGTGTGCAGTGTCCCTGACAGGCCTGTGGATTCTGCTCTCAACGCCTCCCTATGCATGTCCCTGCCCCCGCCTCCGCCTCCACGGTCAAGTGTCCCGTCTAAATACCCTCATCTCTCCCAGGGACTTCGTGACCTCTTACTCTCTGTCTGTGCAGCTACTCTTACCTGCCCCTAATCCGAGCCTCCCGTGGGGTGGCCAGACAAAGCCACGTCATTCCCCTGCTCTAAATCCTTCCCTGGCTCCCCAGTTCTCTGTGGCTTTTTCCAGGGATGAAATGCAGATTCTGACGGGGCTCCCCACTCTGGCTCCTGCCGCCCTCCTGGCCTCATCTGCCGCTCTCCTCACCTTCTGCACCCTGGCTGGGGCTGCACAGGCCTCTCAGGCCTGGCCCCGCCCTTGCTGCCGCCTGCCTCGGGGCCTTTACACGTGCAGATTCCACTGCCCGTCCCGCTTTCCTTGTCTGGTCAAGTCCTGCTCGCTTGCCTCTTCCTCGGGAAGGCCTCACCGACCCCACGGAGGAGGCCAGGCCGTCTGCTGTCTCCTCCTCTTGCATTTCTAATTCATTGCACTGCTCGTAACTCGTAGTTCTGCGCGCTTGTGGAATGGTCTGATTGTCCGCCCCGGTCCCCGTCCCTCTGAGCCGGGAGACTCCAAGGGGTCAGGCTCACCTTTGTCTCCCCAGGACCCGTCACACTGCAGGAACTTGCTGAGTGAGCGAGGGGACTCTGCCCAGCAAAGAGGAAGGGGCGAGCACCCTGGGCTGCTAGGGCGTTGGGACTGTTAGGAGAGAAGGCGCAGCCTCCTGCCGCGGCTGGCGAGTCCTCACTCGCTCCTCCTGCCGGGGGATCTGCGTGGGGAAGGGAGGGGTCCTGAAGTCCTGTTCGAGGTGGCAGTGTCTGCATGACTGCTGGGATGGATGAGGGGACACTGAGGCAGCTCCCCGCCCCCTCAGCTGTCTGACAGCAAAGATGCCTTCAAGAAGACCTGGAACCCTAAGTTCACCCTGCGCTCACACTACGACGGCATCCGCTCCCTGGCCTTCCACCGCAGCCAGGCGGCGCTGCTCACCGCCTCCGAGGACGGCACGCTCAAGCTCTGGAACCTGCAGAAGGCGGTCACGGCCAAGAAGTGAGGGCAGCAACCCCAGAGTGGGGGGTGCGGGGACACCCGGGCCAGGGCATAGGACGACAGGGGGCTCAGTGACATTGGGCTCCTCTGTCTCCCCACAGGAATGCTGCGCTAGATGTGGAACCTATCCACGCCTTCCGGGCGCACAGGTAGGGAGGCGGCCCTGAGCCTGCTAGAAACCTGGCTGGCTGATCCCTGACCTGCTCAACTGCCATTGCGGCAGGACGATGGCAGGAGACAGGGTGGCAGGAAGGCTGAGTCCCGACGCCTCTCCTGTCCTGCCCGGTGCAACCACGCCCTGGCTCTGCAGCTGTGTGCCAACTTTCATGTGTCCCCGGTGGCTGGTTCTCAGGGGAGGGCACAGGCGGGGGCTGGGAGAAGGCAGGGCACAGGCAACTTGCCTGGGTGGCACGGCCAGAGCCCCGGTGGCTGAATTCTTTCTGGCCATCCGTCTAAGGAGCTGGTAGGGAACTGGAAGGTCCTGTGGCCAAGGAAGGTTTTGAGCTTCTTGTCTCATCTCCTCCCTTTACCCATCTTTGTACCCTCCAGGGGCCCTGTGTTGGCAGTCGCCATGGGCAGCAACAGCGAATACTGTTACAGTGGCGGGGCAGATGCCTGCATCCACAGCTGGAAGATTCCAGACCTCAACATGGACCCCTATGATGGCTACGGTGAGGGTAGCTCCCCGCCTTCCTTTCCTCCACCCGCTGCTGACTGGGGCCTGGTCGTTCCTTCCGCACACGCTGAGCGTCCGCCTCTTGCCAGGGTCTCTGCGTGGCCGAGTGCGGGGAGTGTGTGAGGAGCGAGTGGAGAAGGCGGAGTTAGCTGGGCCAGGTTGCAGGGAGCTGGGACTTTATCCTGAGGCACCTGAGAGTTAAGTGGAGATGTGACCAGACTGTCGCTTCTGTCCAGTGTCTGTATCCCCGCTCTCTGACACATCTTTTGATCATTTACACAGCTCTGTGCTAATCATGTCATGAGAGTTCAGAGGTCAAGAGCCAGCCCCGGCCAAGTTAGCTGCCACACTCTGGGTGTCGGTAGGGCTCAGGCCAGAGTCACCTGTGTGGATTCCAGTGACCAGGGGTGGGACCTTTGAACGACAGAGAGCTTTAGAGACACTGGGCAAAGCCTGTGCACTGGGGCACGGGCAGAAAAGACTCAGGCCGAGGGCGGGCCCTGAGCAGTGGGCAGAGGCTGTGTGCCAAGCCCCGGGGACCGCAGAACCTCCACTCTTCTTCTTTCCTTAACTGAGTCCTAAAAATTATGTATTGAGCACTGGTTTCTGGGCCCTGGGGAGACAGCCATGAACAGAGGGAGATCCCTGCCCTCTGGAGCCCTAGAGTCTTTCCCAAAGAGCTAGTGGTCACTGTGCAGCCGCCGGCCTGGCCCAGTGCTGGGCAGCTCCAGGGCGGCCAGGGCTCTGGGGATGAAGCCAGATGAACGGACGGCTCGAGCCCAGCTGCCCAGGGCGTGGCTGAGCTGGAGCTCTGGACTGTCTGCGGTGGGGCTGACAGGCCTGATGCAGCCCCTTTCCTCCCAGACCCAAGCGTGCTGAGCCACGTCCTGGAGGGCCACGGGGACGCGGTGTGGGGCCTGGCCTTCAGTCCCACCTCCCAGCGCCTGGCCTCCTGCTCCGCTGACGGTACCGTCCGCATCTGGGACCCCAGCAGCAGCAGCCCGACCTGCCTCTGTACCTTCCCCACAACCAGTGGTGAGTGGGGGACCCTGGCGCCTCACATAGGAGCGGTGCGGAGCTGGAGGCCATCAGGGTGGCTCCTGACGAGGGCCCAGGGCAGGATGGGGCATCAGGCAGCCTTCTGTCCCCTGTGCCCTCAGAACACGGGATCCCCACCTCAGTGGCCTTCACCAGCACCGAGCCTGCCCACATCGTGGCCTCCTTCCGCTCTGGCGACACTGTCCTGTATGACCTGGAGGCTGGCAGTGCTCTCCTCACACTGGAGTCCCGGGGCAGCAGCGGTAAGGGGGCCCCAGGGCCCGTGGCGGGGCCAGGCTGGGGGACTGGGGTCTGCGTGCCTCCAAGGCCCCAGTTCCTCTTGTGGCTTTGGTGACTTGCTTGCCAGTCAGCTCGAGATGACTGCCCTGCGCCCTCAGGGGCCCTGAGCAGGAAGGAAATAAGGTCCGGTGGAGGGCGCAGCCCTGCCTCACTACAGCTCGGCGCTCTTGGGGGCCAAGGGGAGAGTGCGTCGTGGACGCCCGTTGGCCCTCTTGGTAGAGCAGATGCACGTTTTCATGTCCCTTATCCCTCCTCCCCGACCCCCAAAACAGGGCCCAGGGCTCATTTTGCAGCAGCAACACTGAGGCCGGGAAAGGAATGGCCTGTGGGTCCCCAACCTTGACGTTGGCGCAGGGCATGGGGTGAGCGGGGCTCCTCTCTTGCCTCTGTCCTGGCTCCAGTTTTCCCCTTGATGTCCTTCCCTCTCCCCTTCTTCCTTCCAGGCCCGACCCAGATCAACCAAGTAGTGAGTCATCCAAACCAGCCCCTCACCATCACCGCCCACGACGACAGGGGCATCCGCTTCCTGGACAATCGGACAGGTGAGGCCCAGCCTCTAGCTGGCCCCACTCCTGCTCGGGTGGTGTGGGGTGGCCCAGACACAGACGGCAGAAGTCCTCATGTCCCCATCAGAGGCTCTCGGGGCATCTCCTCCAGCCCCCTCACCTTCCCAGGCGGGGCCCAGAGTGGGAGAGGAACCTGCCACCCACCCGTCTCCCTTCAGGTAAATCCGTGCACTCCATGGTTGCCCACCTGGATGCGGTCACCTGCCTAGCCGTGGACCCCAATGGCGTATTCCTGATGTCAGGAAGTAAGTTGGGACCCTTTTATCTGTCCCTTCCGCAGCAGGCGTGCGGCTTGCTGGACCCGCCAGGGTTGGGGAGAGGAAGAGGAGAGACCTGGGCACGGGTCCCAGGCGAGTGCACAGGCACTCCTGGGGCTGGGGGCTGGGGAAGCTGGTCTGGGCAGGAGTGAGCGTGGTCACGGTGACATAATAGGACGTAGCAGCGAAGCACAGGGTCAGCACTGGTGCCTGCGGCGTCTCATTTAATCTCAGCGACCCTGTGTGCCGGGTACTTTGTGCCCATTTTACAGCTGTGGGACCTGACACTCAGAGCTGAGTCTTGCAGCTTGGTCGCAGCCCAGCAGGCTGTGGGAATGGAAGTCCAGGTCTATCTGACGAAACCCCCACGGGGACTTTGAGCATTCGGTGCCACCCTGCTCTCTGTGCATGAGGGTACTGAGGCCGCGACCGTGGGGCTGGAACGTGGGTGGATGAAGGCCTGCCTCGGGCCTGCCCGCGTCAGACCCCCATGCGACCCCGCGCCAGCGGCCGCGAGCACACGCGTGTGGAGCGCAGGGGTGCGAGCACTGGTGGTGGAGGGATGGGTGGGCGCAGAGTGGTCACGGCTGGGCTCTGCCTTCGCGTCGTCCCCTCCTGCCTCCTCGGGCCATTGTGTCCTCACGCTGGCCACGGGCTGCCTTCTGTTTCCCTGCCCGTTGCCTCCTGCCCTGCAGCGTTAACTCCGGCGGGCAGGGAGGGCTGCCTGTGTGTTCCCTGTACCCCCAGGGCCTGTACACAGAAGGTGCTCAGTAATACTCGGTGACTACATGGATGGTCGACGGGGTGGAACAAAGGGGTTCTGCTCTGGGCCGGTGTCAGGGGTGACTGTGCCGAGGGATGGCAGGGAAGAGGGTTGAGTCCCACCTGACTCCGAGGCCTTCGGACGAGGCCAGGTATCTGCCTGAGGAGCTCGGTGACAGCCCTGTGTCCCCACACCCGCGCAGGCCACGACTGCTCCCTGCGTCTGTGGAGCCTGGACAACAGAACCTGCGTGCAGGAGATCACGGCCCACCGCAAGAAGCACGAGGAGGCCATCCACGCCGTCGCCTGCCACCCCAGCAAGGCGCTCATCGCCAGCGCTGGTGCCGACGCCCTGGCCAAGGTCTTCGTATGATGCCCGCCTGACCCCGCCCTGGCCGCGCACGGGCTGCGGAGCGGGGCGGGCGGATGGGGCTGAGGTGAGGGCCTGGGCCCGTTTCTATTCTGGACAGGAGGGCGGAACCGCCTGCGTCCTCAGCCCTGCTGGGCCTTCACACGCCCCCTTGCCTGGCACTCCAGGGTGGGACCAGGTCCCACGGTCCAGTCGGGGCCGCCCTGTGAGAATCACTGAAGCAGCCCCTCGGTATGGAGGGCGGGGTGTTGAAGAGCTGTGTCCTAGAGGCCATGGTCCCGTCTCCCGTCCCTCTTTCTCCTGCAGGTGACACTCAGCTTCACGCCAGAGGTGCAGAGGCCTGGCCTCTTCCCAGCTGCAGCGGAGCCCAGTGGTGCTAGTGGCCCTTTCCCCAGGAATCCCTCCCCCACGGCTCCCTCCCCGAGCATCTGGCTTGGGGATGCGCCCCTTTCAGGAATCACCCCTAGAGGACGGTCTCTGGGGGTTTCTCCCTGGGCCCAGACACCCGCTCCTGGTATCAGAGCTGCCTTCTGGAGGTAGCACGGCCAGGGCGGGGTGTTTTTGAGGATGTTTTTCCAAGATGGCAGAAGGTGCCAGGTTCTCCCCTTGAGCTCCTGCCCCCTTCCTCTCCGTCTCCCAGGCCTGGCGGGAGCTGTGCCGGGAAGAATCCCAGACGGATGCCCCTCCTGGGTGGGGCCGGAGCCGCAGAGTTGAGCCCTGGGCCCGGCCCCTCCCCCGTCCCCTCTCCACTGCTTTCCAGACACTAACCAAGGCCTCCAGGCCGGGAACTGCCCACCGCTCCTCCCGGGGCAGCCCTCCCAGCCCGCGCAGGGTCACCCATGGGGAGAGATGGCCTTCTCGTGCCCCCAACCCCGGGGCGTGGAGGGTGGAGTAGGGTGCCCTGGGCCCCCTTAACTCCCTGTATATCTGTATAAATAACAGGATTTTAATGCCCCGCCCACGTTATCACTGTGTGATAGTCTTGGTCAGTCTCCATCCTGGCCCTCCACTCTTTCCCTCTATTTATTTCACTCTCTTCCGTTCCACCCTGTGCCCTCAGTCCCCCTCCCGGGTTCCTGTTTATAAGCCCCATCCCTTCGGCCCCTGTCTTGTATGTGAAAACTTGTCTCAATAAACCCTTTGGAGTAAGATGGGTGACGGTGCCATCTGTGGAGGGGCCTGGGGACTTTGGGGGAGGAGTGGCTGGCCCTGCCTGGGTTGGGTGGAGTTTGGAGAGAGGGGATGTGATGGTTGGGGTTTTGTGGTAGGGCGGGGGCTGGGGAGGGGCCCGGAGCTTGGGCCGGGTGTGGGTGGAGGGCGGAAATGGGGGCACTGGACCGGATCTCCTTGCGCCCCTTCTTTCTGCGCCTAAGCACTCCCTCCCCAGGGGCAGAGCCCGACAAGCAAAGGCTGTGAGGTGACAGTTCAGCCGAAGACTCCCCCCCACCTGGATGTGTGACGGGTGAGAGGGGAAGGGCTGGCGCCCAGAGGATTCAGACCTCCCTCCCCTCCCTGCCCTGTGCCTGGGCCCACATGCAGCAGGCAGGGGAAGCCGGGGCCTGCCAGCATAGCATGACTGGCCATGGTGTCGCCAGCTGCAGGCTCTGCCATGCTGGGGGCTCCTTAGAAAAAAGCTGCAGGCCCCCCCCACATGGTCCCTCCTTTCCCTTCTCAGTGGCCGGTGTTTGCTGTGCTGAGCCTTCTGCATGTCATTTCACTGGGTCCTCACAGCCTTGACGGGAGGGACCATGACCATCCACATGGTACAGAACACGGGACGGGGGTTGCTCTCGGTCTCCGGCAGGTCATCAGATTTTGCGTCCAATCCCATCTCCCTTCGCCGTGAGCCCTTCACCACCTAGCAGCAAGGTCTCCTCAGGCAAAGTCCCAGCACCTCCAGAACATGACACTCGTGCCCACCTCCTGGGTTGAGGCCTGTGAACTACACACTCGGGACATGTTAGCATTTCACTGTGATAGTCATCTGCCCCTCTGGAAAACAGGTACAGAGGCTCTTAGGTGACACTGACAGGAGCCCACTGTGGGCTCCACGTGGCCTTGCTCCCCAGGTGGTTTGGTTTTCCTTCCAGCCTCAGACTTCCTTCCCCAGCCCCAGCCCCCGGATGTGGTGACAGCGCTACTATGTGGACCTCAGCTACCCTCCTTGGCCCCGTACCAGGAAGGGGGGACTCTGCCGGCAGCTCCCATCCCCAGCCAGTCCTGGTGGCCCAGCTCTAGGATGTCTTTGGGGCTCAAACCTAGGCTGTGACCTGTCGGTGAAGGAGGTGGGAGGGGCAACTTCACTTGGTGATCTTGGACAAGTCACTTTGTCCCCTGAGGCTTCAGCGTCCTATATGTGCACTAAACGGCAGCCACCACTTGATTATTAGCTGGGGAGGAGGAATCAAGTCTGATTGCTCCAAAGGGACAACAGTGGGTTTCGACAGGTATTTGCTGGGTGACTGACTATTGGACATACCCACCCACGAATGCCCGAGTGCTGAGGTCCCCGCCTTCACCTCTGCAAGTTGTTAGCGACAGCCACCATTTACTGAACTTTGCTGTGTCCCAGGCACGTGTATACCATCTCCATCCCACAATCCCCTCTGGACTCAGTCCTATTAGAGTGCCATCTAACGGATGGAGAGACTGAAAGGCTCACAGAGGGGAAGTCACCCACCTAAAGTCACACAGAAAGACACAGGCACATGTCCCCAGGAGCTTGTCAGTTCACCGCTTGTGAAGTGGTGTGGGTGTGTTGTCCTCCCTCCCAGGCACCCCCAGGCAGCATCCTGAGGGCAGGGGCACTGCCCCTTCGCACCTGTCCTCCAGTTAGCCCCATGCACCTTGCCCCAGGTCTCTGCAGACAGACCTGAGGCGAGGCGCCTCTGTCCGTCTGGAGGCCTGCTCTTCCCACCTGTCCAATGAGCTGCGGGCGAGTGTGCGGGCGCGGCTGGGGTGCGGGCGACACCCTGAGAAGAGAGAGGCCGAGCTCAGAGAGCTGGCCCTGGCCTGGCCCCGACACCCTATTTCTCATCCCTTCCCCGCGGTGGGCTCCGGATGCCGGCCAGCCAAGAAGCTCCCCTCCTTAAAGGGCCAGTCGCCTCCCAGCCGGGTCCCCGCGACCTGGGCTGGCGGGGTGAGGGTGGCTCGCCCCTCCCTGTTCAGCTCAGGGTAAAGTTAACTTTCCAGACTGGCGTGCGATGAGGGGAGCAATCAGTCCTGCCCGCCAGCCCCCCAACTCCCACCCCATCCCGGGCCCCGGCGTCTGGCAGGGGAGCTCCAGCCCCCAACTGGGGGCGCCAGGCCCACCCTCCTCTTCCGCCCCCGGCCCCAGACAGGTCCCGCCCCTCCGTGACGTCACCGAGACCCGCGCCGATTGGCCGACTGCGCCGTCGCTCCGGATACTTCCTCCTGCGCTGCCGCCGCGGACTTAAACTTTGGAGGGGGAAAAAGAGCCACCGGCGCCCGGCGACCCTCCCTTGCCCCCATCCCCTACCCCGCCGCCGGCAACGCCGTCTTCCCCGCGGCTCCCGACCGAACTTTTCTCCAACTTCCGCGACCCGTGAGATTCCCTCCTTCCCACCCTGGCCCTCAGGACCCCTCTGCCCATCCCCGCGCCGATCGGACCCCTGGGGTCCACTCGACCCCTGACTCCGAGACTCCTGGTTTCCACCCCCAGGTCTGTGACTCCCTCGGGCCGCCTTCTTCGTGGAACCCCCTTCTTAGAGCCACGGATCCTGGGATCCCCCTGCTCCCTTCTCAACCCCCCTCTCCGCAAGGGACCCTTTGGATCGCGAGCTCCCCTGATCCCTGTGACCCCGACCTACTGGATTTTCCTCTCTGGTTTCTTGGAATCTCTTAATCGCTGGGTCCCGCGAATCTCTCCTTTGTTCCTTTCTTATCTTCTGTGATCCCTGGATTCCAGGCGTCCTTTTCTCTAATTTCCCAGGACCCTGCCTGCCATCCTCAGGTCCCCTCAACCCACCAGACTTCCCGTCTCTGGGCCCCGCGCTCTTCTTAGCACCAGCTCACACGATCCCTCGGATCTAGGACCCGGGTTCCCCCAGCCGGATCCCGGGTGGGCGCCGGGCGGCCGGTCCGCGGCCTCCCCGCATGGCCGCCGCCCCCTCCTATCCTGCGGGGCTCCCCGGATCTCCCGGGCCGGGGTCTCCTCCGCCCCCCGGCGGCTTGGAGCTGCAGTCGCCACCACCGCTGCTGCCCCAGATCCCGGCCCCGGGCACCGGGGTCTCCTTCCACATCCAGATCGGGCTGACCCGGGAGTTCGTGCTGTTGCCCGCCGCCTCGGAGCTGGCCCATGTGAAGCAGCTGGCGTGTTCCATCGTGGACCAGAAGGTGAGGGCGCGAGGCTCCCCCATCCAGCTCGTGAGCGGTCTGAGGAGGGGGCGCTGGCAGAGGCCTGGCGTGGGGGAAGGGGAGGGAGGGGATCTGAGCATTAGGCGACTGAGAGATGGGGGGCACTGGCCCCCAATTGCCGTCTCACTCCATGACCCATTTAGCATTTAGAGAGGACTGGGCAGGGGTGGGGTGCCCCAGAGCCCTCCCCAAATTGCCTGTCCCTGCATGTTGTTTTCTGCAGCTGGCAGGGAGGAAGGGAGGGGCGGGCCAGGTGTAGAGTCGGGAGGAAGGGGCAGGAGGGGGCAGATGTGGGAGCATCTCCTCATTCATGCCCATCGGGGCCTCCCATTTGGTGGAAACAGTAGAAACTGAACCCAGGCTGGCCATAGTGATCGGGTGACACGTGTGGGTATAGGTGCCAGGGGCAAGTGAGGTTTCAGAGTCCTGCCCTCCCCCAGGTCTCAGATGTATGTATGTGGAGGGGTGGGCAGGGACCCTTTCTGCACCCCCAGAGGCCCTGGGGACTCTGTTTCCTCTCCTGATCACAGTGCCCCCACCCAGCCTTAGTTTTGGACACCAGGGTCCCCAGGGTGGAGTCTGCGAGTCATGACAAGAGGGAACAGGTAGAACTTGATGCCTGAATCCCAGAATGCTAAAAGTTAGAACAGTGGGATTCCATGTTGTTGGCGTACCAGACTGTAAAACTGTTAGAATATCAGAATCATAAACAGCTGGAATATACATTGCAGGTCATTGAATTCTCCTGATATTAAAGTGTTCAAATATTAGAATCCTAGGTCGTTGAAATACTAAAACGTTAAAATGTTGGAATATTAGATTCCTAGGTTGTTAGAATCCTAGAATGTGAAAATGTTCGAATTTTGGAATGCTGGGTTGTTGAAACCCTTTAACGCTAAGATATTCGAATATTAGAATCCTAGTTTGTCAGACTCCTAGAACATTAAAATATTAGATTATTGCTGATCTAGGTTATCAAAATCCTAAACCATAAAATGATAATATGTGGGAACCTGGAATGTATAATTCTATAATGTGAGCGTGTTGGAATCGCAAAATAGCCAAATTCCAATATCTTCTCAGACTCCTGGAAATGAATTCTTTGGGCTTCAGAGAAACCTGGGGCCAACTCCCTCATTTTGCAGACAAGGAAACTGAAGCTTAGAGAAAGACATCCCAGGTGGTCAGGGCCAAGGCAGTCCTGGTCTCCTGTGGACCCTGCGTCACCAGCGAAAACGGGGCTTTGCCCATCAACACCCAAATCTAGCAGGCCCAGCTCCTACCCCCCACGCAGTCCGCTCCATGGGAAGCTGGGGGTGGGGGCACAGATTGTCCTCTGGGTGAAACTTTTGTCCAATGCTCAAATCCCCAGCCTGCCCCCCTCAGGCCTCACCCCAGTTTATTTTTCTGTCCTCCCGGTCCAGGTGTGTTAGGGCCCCTTTCCTTCCTCGGAGGCCCCACCTGGGCAGTTTCACTTTCTGTTCTACCAGGTTTCATTTCCTGCCCCCCCCCAACCCCAAGCTGGCGACCTGGACACCTGGGTTCTTTGAGCTTTGGGTGGGGGGCACCCTCCCTATTTCCAGCCCTCTTGCTCTAGCTCCCCCCAACCCCGTTCCCAGCAGTCCCCAAATCCCCTCCTTCCAGCTCACCCGCCCCAGTGCTGGGCCTCCTGCCAGGTAACTGTGACAACAATAGATCCAGGAAGGAAGCTGGGGCAGAAGCGGGCGGAGGCTGATAGGGGAGGCGGGGGGTTCACTAAGCATCCCCCCACCCCCAGGCTCCAGAAAAATAGAGGGTCCACGTTCGCGGAGCCGCATTCCCTCCCACGTTCCGGGAGCCACGCTCCCTCCCACCCCAGCTCGCGGGTCCAGCCACCAAACTCGCGCTGGCGCTCACTCCCTGCACACCTGGGGCCCTGGCGTCCTGTCCAGCTCCAGCTGGGGTCGGGAGGGGGCAGGCAGGAAGCGAGGGGCTGCGGGGTCTCTGAGTTTCCGGGGGAAACAGCCGGCCCTGCCCTGGGAGGGTGCCAGTCCGCCTCTGAAGGCAGCTCTGAGCTTTTCCGTCGCCACCTCCCTCTCCCACCCCCTAGTTCCCTGAGTGTGGCTTCTACGGTCTTTACGACAAGATCCTCCTCTTCAAACATGACCCCACATCGGCCAACCTCCTGCAGCTGGTGCGCTCGGCCGGAGATATCCAGGAGGGCGACCTGGTGGAGGTGGTGCTGTCGGGTGAGAGGCGGAGGCTGGCTTAGGGGCGGAG